ATACTCTCTTTCATTGTAATCTAAAGCTAAATTAATTTCTCCCTGCCCGTGTTCTTTCTCATTCTCTTCGAATCTTACCATGGGCACATTTATCTCTTTGTCTGAGCAGGCCCAACCAAATTCCAGTCTTGAAGAGTATGTCATTCTGCATTCTGCACTCCTACTCCTCAACACATGTAGGAAAAGCACGCTATACTGTAATTTGTGCAATTGGGGGAAAGTTTTAAATTTTGATTAAATTTGCTCTACTGGTCTTCTCACTGGACTTTTCCATATCAAATTCTAATCTAGGCTTAACCAAAACCAGTTGATGTGGAGTCAGTTGCAACTCATGGCAACCCCAGGTGTTTCAGAGTAGAACTGTGCTCCACAGGGTTATCAATGGCTGTGATCTTTTGGAAGTAGATAGCCAGGACTTTCTTCCAAGGTACCTCTGGGTGAATTGGAACCACAAACCTTTCAGTTAGTAGCCAAGCACTTAATCATTTGTGCCACCCAGGGACTCCTAATCTAGGCTTAAGTTATTTCAAAACATATCTGATTAAAATTAATAGTGCACAAATAATAAAATAGAAAAATTTCAATTAAATAGTTGACACAAGGTAGCTTGCTCTAATGCTAGCTTAACGTAGTAACTAGATGAAGTGAAATGGCATAAGACTGCATCTCCAAATAATGCTTCACTCATAACAGTCTCAAGACACTCCATTATTAATTTTTTCTCCAGGGATTTGAATATAAATGCACAGAAGTGTAACATTCTTATCTCAGTAAACATTCCCATAGGAATCATGTTCTTTGGGAATGCTACCAATGAGAAAAATTGAAATATTGTGTTATATATTGAAAAAATTAGTTACTGAGTTTCATAAAAAATGAAGGTGATATTCCAAATATGAAGTATAGAATTTGCAATAGATTTATATAATCATTTTCAAATGTGAAGGGAGAGTAGCTTCTACATTTCTGAAATCTGAAACTTTGATATTGAACAGCATGGTGAGGAGAAAAGACCCGGACGAGGAGTTGGGAAACTTGAGTTGAACTACTGCTTTGTTATTAACCAGCTGAGTGACTTGGATTACACATTTAACCCCTTTGGACCTCAAGTATCATATCATTAAAATGAGGAAGTGGTATTTGGTCACCAAAATTCCTTTGAGATCTAAAAAATCATGTTACAGTCAACATCCAGTTCACTTCATAGAACAATTAACTGTAGTTGTTGTTAGGTGCTGTGAGATGATTTTCAACTCCTAGTGATCCCATGTCAGGAGACTTAGTGGTGCAGTGGTTAAGCGCTCAGCTGCCAACCGAAAGGTCGGTAGTTCAAACCCACCAGCCACTCCGCCAGAGAAAGATGTAGCAGTTTGCTTCCGTGAAGATTTACAGCCTTGGAAACTCTATCAGGCAGTTCTATCTATAAGGGTCACTGTGAGTCTGAATCGACTCGAATGCAGTGGGTTTGGTTTTTGGTTTGTGTTTAGTGACCTCATGTGACAGCAGAACTGCTCCATAAGGTTTTCTTAGCTGTAATATTTACGGAAGCAGATGGCCAGGTCTTTCACCCTCGGAGCCACTGGGTGTGTCTGAACCACCAGCTCTTTGGGTAGCAGCCAAGCGCTTAACCGCTGCACCACCAGGGCTCTTTAACAGTTAACTAGTGCCTTTACTATTTGAAAGCACTGTGCTAGGAGCTAGGGTGATAAAAAGATATATAAAATAAGCTTCCTGACCTCAAAAGCTTACATTCTTACAGATTATTAAAACGACAGGGTAATATGTGCAGAACAGTATGTAGGGATTTTATTATACCTGTTTTATTATTCATAAACCATATGGGGCACTGAGGCTCAGCTGACTAAGAATGAGCTGTGCTTCTCCATCCTCAGGCTGTTGCTGACCCATTACACAGATCTGGGTAAATTACTCTCCAAGTCTCTGTTTTTTATTTGAAAATAATCATACTGACTCAACTGGCAGCAATGTTGAAATACAACAAACATTGTACATTCCGTAAAACTTTATGGACACTCCCATGCCAGCTGAGTGTTGGGTGTGCAGGGCAAAGCAGCTGGCAGGACCCTGCTCTCATGTAGTTCAGTCATTATAATAAAGTTCTTTCATATAACATATATAACATCATCATAAAGTTCTTTGCAAATAAATCAGCATGGCAAATGGCTAGTTAAAACAAATAATCAGACTTATTTTAACTTAGAGGAGTCTAGAACATCTTTTTGCAAAATAACATTTGTGCCTCAGCCCTGATAAGTATGATAATAAACAGTAAAAACATATACATATTACATATACATAAGATTTTCGTTGTTGTTAGGTGCCGTCGAGTTGATTGTCGACTCATATGGACCCCATGTGACAGAGTAGAACTGCCCCACAAGGTTTTCTAGGCTGTACTCGCTACAGGAGCAGATTGCCAAATCTTTTTTCTGTGGAGCCACCGGGTGGGTTTAAACTACCAACCTTTCAGTTAGCAGCTGAGTGCTTAACCGTTGTGCCACCAGGGCTCCTTACATAAGATTATAAACTTGTATAAACTGTATATAATTTATTAACCCCTGTTGTTGTTTAGTTATTGTTAGGTGCTGTCAAGTCAGTTCCGACTCATAGTGACCCTATGTACAACAGAACTAAGTACTGCCCAGTCCTGTGCTATCCTCACAATCCTTGCTATGTTTGAGCCCATTGTTGCAGCCACTGTGTCAATCCATCTCATTGAGGGTCTTCCTCTTTTTCACTGACCCTCTACTTTACCTAGCATGATATC